TCTCTTTCAGGACCAGCTACTACTAAAGTTTATTGATGATTCACCCTGGTTTAAAGTCAAGGGTGCTCTTACTTTATACCATTTTGCAAAACTGTGTAAAATACATGATTATTTAAAATTTAAATTTATAAAGCTACATATAACTGTCCAGTACTCTGCTTATTGATTATACTGCCTTTTTGCTTTGATGAATGTTTCACTGAATTTAAAATTATTCTTCTCCCTTCATGTGCTCCGTCTTCATTTTCCAGCAAAAAGGGAAATAGAGACCAAAATTAGAGAATGAGATGCTGTATTGTATTAAGTCTGAGAAGTGTTCTGAATAATAAAAGGCCCTATACCAAAGAGGAGTGGTGCCACAACTGTCCTGCTTGGCAGCAGCTAAGTCATCACTCATTAGTAGCTTTTACACATAATTCCAGGAGCGATACAGATTTTTCAAGAGCCATATAATATCCTGAAATTTGGTGAGCTCTAAATTTTATGCATTTCAGCTTATAAACAGGGACAAACATACTGGCTAGCATAGGAAAGTTTTTTTTTTCTTTTCAGCTCTTTGACTCCTTATGCATTGCATAGTAGTTGGGGCTTGTCTTCCTCTGTTTCTTTTTTCCTGTCATAAAGCCCAACAAACAAGTTTACTGCTACACAAAGGTTACACTGTTATTGAAAGCAGCCTAAGATCTTCAGAGTGAAAAAGGGGTGACTTACATCACATCTCATATTTATTTATTCCAGGAAGGCAAACTCAGGAGGTCCTTGCTGCCCCTTACACCTGGTAGTACTACTTGCTTAGAGATGTCTTTCACAGTAAGCTGCTAGAGAACATATTTCTCTTCATCTAAGAGTGGTACCTTGGCATTGGTTGCACAGAGAATTCTGCAGGCTGAATGAATAATTACCATCCTATGAGTGAGCTAAAGGAGTAGTTTGAAGATGTTAAAAGCCTTCTGATATTTAGAAAATTTGCACTACAAAAACAATAACACAAAAACTTCATTAAAATCCAGTGCACAGTCTACAGAGCAGTGTCTCTACTGTATATCCAATGGAAAAAAAGTCAGCCTGTTAAAGCAGATTCTCTCTTTGAAGCATATCTGTGACTGTTGTGGGTCTCCACAGCTGTGCTTGTCACTATCTGACTCCCAATATACACACTGAACTTAGTATTTGCAAGAAGTGTTCCTCAGGATAACTTCACGAACACTATCACATTGTAGGGCAAAACTGTCCAACTCTGGTCTCACCCTTTCAAGCCGAGTCACTTGTGATCTCAATGACAAGATCTTTAGTAATAGACAAGAACTTAGCCTCAGGCACAGGATAGCTCCTCATAAAAAACTTCAAGCTTCATAGGTCACCTCTTAAAAATCCTTCAAACACAACCTCTCTTAATGCTATGTCTTGAAAAACTTGGTAACTCATGCCTTGAGGTTTTAGTCATTACCCATTTCGCTGATCAGTATTTTTTTCCCATGCCTTAGACTGTGTCACCAGAGTCTTGGACTACCTTCATTGTTTCTACCAGAACTAGTTCAGCTCAATTCCAATCTTGTAGCTAAGGTTAACAGTGATTAAACACACAAAACCTGTAACAGTATGTGCTATTTAACTGGTAACTTGCTGCTGCACTGATTCAAGCTTCAAGAACTCTCCTCCATCTTAAATTTGAATGGATTTTTTTGCCCAGCTTTCATGCCTTTAAGTGTTCTCATTATTTACAATCCACAAGCATAGAAGAGTTCTGTCTATGTGGGCAAAAACTGGGCTCTCATAGACGTCTGATATTGGTAGTGTTAGCCAAAACAATAATTAAATGCCTTGAGAGTTTTGAGTCATGAATCTGTTCTACTTTTGCAGTTTGTTCTTTGGCTAAGCTCAGGTGGGTGGAAATCTTCAAAAAAATACAACAGCCAACCTCTTCCTAATGATCTCCATGGAGGTCTCATCAGTGACAGCAACAAGAAGCCAAGGCTGAGCCCTTCTGGAAACAAAAACTTCTTAGGACTTGCATGTGCTGGCAGAATTAGCTTTTGAGTTTTTATTTCTTTCAAGTGTTTTGCTGGGAGCACTGGATTAGTGCTGTGAATTCATGTTCTGTCAGTACCTGGCATTCAAATACAACTGATCGTGCCTTGGAGTGCAAGCTGGATTATTTCTCAAGATTCATTTTTCATGGGCCCAAGTTTATGTAGTAATTAAAGAAATAAATCAATCAGATGCTGACTGCACATCTATTTGCTTAAATATCTTTGAAGTGCTGCAACTTAATCAAAGCAAAACCACAACCTGAGTTTGGGGCTTGCATGCTTCTGTTCATCTGGGCTACAGAGCACCATGTTAGTACTTCCTCACTTTACTTCTATTGTGCTAGTGTAAATTTATATGGTAAGAAATGCTCAAATCATCATCATCATGGGTAGGCTTCATGAACAAAGATTTGGGGAAGGCTCTATCCATGCTCAAATACACAGCTGATAAACTACAGCACATCACTGTGCACCAGCTCAGACCAGTTCAGTAGCTGTTCTTGGGCAGTTATTTCCATCAAATGTAAGATAGCAACACAGTTTTAAACTGTTTGCAAAGAAGCTAAATGCTGACAACCTGCTATTTTCTTCAAGCAGAGAGCTGTTCACTTAGATGGTTACTACAGCCCAGCTAGCTTGTGGGAATCTTGCACTCAGTCACATAGGTGAGTTCTAAGCTATGAAGGAGATAGCATACATACCAGTGTAATTGTTTCCTCAGACCTTTGAATCACTAAGATTAAAAAAATATTTATTTTCAAGCAGAGTCATTTGGGTTCTGGCTCACCTGTCTGGAAAGGAAGATGGTGGACTGGGTTCTTACCCAGGGGTAATGCTTTCCTGCCACACTTGATGACCAGCTGGATTGCTAATGAGGTACCAGGTGAACTGCAACAGCTTACAGCTCTGTATTCAAGGGCATACTAAAACCAATGCCAGTTTAGTCATCCATGGAGAGGGAGGAGATGGGCAGTTTGCCATGGTTCCAACAACATGTGATACTTATTCCTTTAATCATCTGGGCTGTGATGCAACCCACTGTGTTGTACCTGACTTCAAGCCTGTTTGACAAACTTCAGACAGTGAGAATCCTTGAATGCACACAAATTTGTCCACGCGGTTCAAGGAAGAAAGATCCCATAAATGGGGAAACCTGATTGCTGTCTGCAGCTGCCTGATTGGAAGATGCAGAGAAAATGAAGCCAGACTTCTCTTGCAGATGCATAGCGACAGGTCAAGAGGCAACCAACACAAGTTGAAATATGGGAAACTCCAATTAGATAGCAGAAAAACATTTTTTTACCTTGAAATTGAACAAATACCATAGAGGTATTGCTTATTAAGTGTAAAACAATTTAAATGCTAACCTTTTTTTAATAATGTGCTGTATGAAAAGGCAAAATTTATTATTATTTAATTGTGATTTAAGTAAAGGCAGTTCACTTATTAGAGAACACCTGCAATTCTAAGTAGGCTTGTCACTATAGGAACACTAGCATGATTTACAAGAAACTCTGCAATATCACCAGCATAATACTACTGAAGAATTTCTGATTGAATAAGCATTTGTACAGGAGGGGAAAAATAAAAAGAAAAGAAGCTTATTTTACTTACATTGCGTGATCTAAGAAGAATCTTTTTGACTTAGTAGGTGTGAGGGCTTGAGTTTTTCAACTACTACGTGTATATTAGTTTCCAGAATCAACACAGGGGAAAAAAAACACCATTAATCTTCTTTGACACAAAGAAATATAAGTGATATATACCAATGCTTGTTATTGTGACAATTTTCTGTGTATTTTTAAACTGGTTTAGTTCTTTGTTTTTTAATTATGAAATCATACTAAAAATGGTCTTATATATGCAAGATTCTGCTGTTTGAAACTGAATTCATTTGGTAAAGCTTCTCTGAGTGTTGTCTATTTTGCAGACTGAGACCAGGAAGCAGCAGTTTTTTCTGTAGCTATAGGAGAGGTTGCAACAAGACAGAGATTCATCTTCCCTCTATTGATGTGAACTCTGAATTAAAACAAACATAGTTTTTACAGCAGGTAAAAACTGCTTGTGAAGGGGCCTGATGTGGCAGAGCAGCATCTGCACAGAAGGAAAGCTTGCAACAGTAACTTTAAAATGTATTCCTGATAACCGGGCACCTGTAGCTGGTCAGCCTTGGCTAGTTCAGCCCATCCCTCTCTCTCTGACTACCTTTTAGACTTTGCAAGTGTGTAGACACAGGACTTCCTTATTTTATTTTATATTAGTTATAAGAGCTCATTTTAGATTAGGCCTGCGTTAAGAGCTTCCTGCCATAGCTGTATTACTGAGGATGTGAAACAAGATTAGTACAATAGGTGAACACATTTAGGCATGCCTGCTAAATACCAGCAAAATGGTCTGCTAAAGAGAAAAATAATTTTTCCCACTGGGTGACTGAGGCATTGACATGGCTAAAATCTGTACCTCTGTAAAACATTATCCCCTCCACTTGCTAGGCTGACAACAGGTGATAATAAATGGGATTGACTTATAGAATTACAGAATCATAGAATGGTTTGGGTTGGAAGGAACCTGAAAGGTCATCTAGCTCAAATCCACCTGCTGTGGGCAGGGATACCTTCCTCTAGCTCAGGTTAGACTTCAGACAAGGAGCAGCGGGTCATCTTGACCAACGCCCAAGGAGGGCTGAAGCCAATGTGGCTGAATTTGCCTGCAGCAGAGATCAGGGTGGGAAAGTGTTTCACAGAACAGAGACCTGCAGGAAGGATGGCTCTCTCCCAGCGTTTTCACGTTGCGCTGTTCCCAGCGTCGGCGGTACCCGCGCCCCACGAGGGGGCCCTGCCCTCACAGGGATCGGCAGCACCAGCGCTTCCAGGGCGCAGCTCCCACTGGCACCCCTCACATCTCGCTTTTAGTAAGGAGCGTTGCTTTTGTGGGAAGCAATATCCCTGACTATGCCTGATTTGGTGTGACATGAAACGTGTCAGGGTCTGTAAAGCAGTTTAAATTTCAGGGTGTTAACCTGGTATAGTTGTAGGTATAATAAACAGGATAACCAGAACAGTAGTTCCCTCTGGGCTGCTTCCAGTGGAAACAGCAAATACAGGGGGCATGGTTGATAGCTACCATATGATCTAACTGGGCCTGGAACATGTATAAATAAAGGATAACAAGGAAATTACTTGGATGACTTTTTCCTACTACATTTTCCCCAATCTAAGACACTTGTAGCAGCCATAGTTTAAGAAAGCCTGGTATAGACAAGGTATTTGAGATCAACCAAGTGGGGAGATCCTATCATATAAAAGAAAAATAGCATCCTTCTACACAGAGGGGGAAGGGTCATTTAAACAGTGATCAAGACAGCTGAGTCTGACCTCTTTAAATCTTTTAATACAACCTTCATTAAAATTCTTAAAATAACTGTGTAATGGCAATCAGAAAAGTATAAGAAGAATATATATTCCAGTTCAAGGAAAGATTTGTCCCCCCAATGCATGAGAAAAATCAAGTGATGAAGGTCATTTAAATGCCATTGTCCCCTGGAGCAACTGCCTGGTTTCATAAGTAACAGCACCTGTCAAATGCACAGCGCTTGATTGCTCACTGCTGTTAGTAGCACTAAAACAAATACAGATGTAAACTGCCAGAGCAACAGTGACATAGGGGGATGATGCAAAGAAACAGCAATGACAACTTCATCAGGCCGCTGCTTCCTAGCTGTCAGCAGGGATGCACTCCTTCCTCCTGGCACTGGGCTCACATGACCACCATGATGTCTTCCAGCGGCTTTCTGGTCAGCGCAGGCACAGTAGCATCTTTCTTGGGATAGCCAACGGGGAGCAACAAGAGTAGCTTCTCATTTGCTGGGCGCTGGAGCAGCACCCGGAGCTGGGGGCCACAGTTGAGGGGTGTGGAGGTCACCGTGTACAGACCTGCATTCTGCAGCAAGACAGACAGCAGTAGAGTGAGACAGAGGTCTGTGCTCTGTATGTGTAGCAGTTGTTCCCACCAGACCTGTATTGTCCTGTTGACTAGCCCAGAAATGCTGCTCCGTTAGATCCTGTTCCAGTCTTTAGAACATGTGATTTACTAACAGCCTTAATGGTACCATAAAAGAGAAGCCTACTTTGCTTATGGAAAAGTGCAGCTATTCTCGACCGCAGCAAAGGCACGTTCTGCCTGCCACGTCTGCGTGCCATACAGCCGGAGCCTGCCCGCAATGCTCCACCTAGAGGGGGACCCAGGGTTACACTGAAGTTGAGAGGCAGTTGTGGGGATATTACTGGAATATCATCCCATGGAGTTGGGAGTTGGACTAGGTGACCTGTAAACCTCTCTTCTAACCCAAATTATTCTGATTCTATGACCTGGCTTGCACAGAGAAATGTTTCAGTTCTTGCCTCCACAGAGCTGACAGGAAGATGCCTTACAACTTTGTGAACATTTGCTCCCTACAGGGAAAGGGGGCACAGGCACTGTCTCAAAAGTTGCTACAGTAGTCTGTTTCTGTCTCTCACAATGGCCATTGTTACAACTTATATCAGAAGCGCAAAGTAGGTCTATATATCAGTCCTCCTCTCATACAAAATATCACAAAAGACCAAAAAAATCTGACAAACAATAAAGAGCTGACATCATCCAAGGTATAAGCACATAGCTGACTCACTTCCTGACAACTGCATATGTGGATTTCGGTCTCTCTGTATATGTAATATGAGAATTTTGAGAGTCTTTGAGATATAAAAGCGAGCCGGTGAAAGGTGCTCAGGCAATGCACGTCTCATGTTTCGTAATCTCTAGGATCTTCTCAAGAGGAGAAGAACTAATAGTGGTGGTGCTAAATGGTGCCTGAGGAGCAGCAATGCATGAAAGGAAGTGTCATTCAAAACAGAATGGAGGAGAAATGGCAGTGCCTGGTAGGAAATTGGCCTAATATAAGAGGTGGCACCTTACTGTTATCCTGCTGACAGGCCAAGTTAACCATCAGAATAGCTTTGCTATTTAAACACTTGTGTGAGTACATCAGATACAAGAAGCAGAACTGAGCACTGAGAAACCACTGAGAAAATCTAACTGGCTGGTGTCAAACATGCTGAGCTTTAGAAATCAGTTCACTTTTAGAAATGCCTTGGAAAGACTGATTGTAATAGTACAGCCCGTTCTGTGGAGTATGTCCCTAGTTTTTTATTTTTTCCAGCATTGTGTACTAAAAGTGATTTGGTGCCAGGCTGTTTTTTAGCGATTACTGAAAAAAAGGGGCCAGTGTGGCACCACACAGCCATGCTTGGGTAGTTTGCAGAGCTGTCAGCCCTGTTAGCATAAGGCAGAAACCACAGGAGCTGAAGTCGGTGCCTAGAAAAGAGTGACAACTCTGGAAGCTACATTACATTTTTCTTCTTGTTAACCAGTACTGATGATAGGAATTACCTTCTCAGATATAGACCTATATGGGATAACTTTAAAACTCAAAACTAAGACATATTGCCAGGAATTGGAGTATTCCAGAGGACTGATAATGTTAAAATTTAAATTGGGTTCCACTCTCATTTGAACAGAATAGTCTTGGTATGTAGTCCAAGCTAATAAATTGACTCCTAGTGTGTTGGTTCTGTCAACATACCTGCAGTGCAGCAAGCAGGATACCACAGGCAATAGAAACACTGATTTCATTATAGTAATGCGTCTTCTTCTTGCCATTTGGAAGCCGCCCGTATACCTGCTTGAAAATGAGGATCAGGTATGGAGCAGTGTCCAAGTACTCTTTGATCCAGTTTGTTCTGCAAAAGAATGTTTAAGACATTTATTTTGCAACCTTTTCACTTTCCCATAAGCCACATTTACTGTCTGCAGAGGGGACTAAAGGTACATGATGATTATAGCAGTAGACTAAAGCTTAGAACATTTACTGCAAAGGATTAAGTATTATCAGCTTAAATAGAAACATTTTTGGAAAAAAAAAAAAGCTTGAATAGAGTTCTCAATTTTAGCAGATTTGGCTGAGGAGTTGATGTGCTCACTCTGAAGAGTAGAATTGCATACAAATAAGCTACCTCTTATCTATGACTGGCCTCATGGGCATTTGCCTGTGAGATTATTTAATTCCTGGAATTTTGCAGATTTGCTTGTTACTAGCAGTGCCAACTTTCTTGTGATTGCAGGGAAAACTGCTGGCAAAAAAGTTCAAAACTTTTTTGTCTGCGATCTAAACCTAAATGTATTCTCATGGTAAAAAAAAAATGTTACTTTGGTTCTGAGTATTTCAGCCCTGTCAGAATTCATTTGGCTCCCAATTTTTTAAATGAAAATTTAAATATATTAATTATGATGTAGGATTTAGAGAAGAAAATGTGCACTTTCTACTGTTTGCACTCAAAATATAAAAAATACTGGGGTTTAGTTGTTTGCATAGCCCATAAATTTGCATAGCACCTAAGCACATGTAAAATAACATTATGAAATAGGTAGGGCAAATAAACCCTACAAAGCTTTGTGCATATGTTTCATTTGACGAGCCAAGACTCAGTAAACATCTTCCCATTGCAAGAAGTTAAGCAAGTCAGTCAGACTTCGGAGGGTATTTGGAACAATTAAATATTGCATAATTCAGCACCTGGATAGGGTCAAGCCTTGGGGCTACCTCAGTCAGTAGCAAAGCTTCCAATGACTTTGGGAGCTTCACTGTTTGGCAAACAACAGGAAAAATCTGGGACAAGAGTTTCAGCGACAGAGGTTACACAGGAAAAAATAATGATGGAGCCAAATGCTTGGAAAACTTTCAAGATGAAGAGCATATAGTACCTTTTGCTGGAAGCAAACCACCAAGGCACAATTCTATGCATATTTATAAGTTTTTCTTTCTAAGTGTGAATCTTAGAAATATATTAAAAGTGAGAGGGAAGAAGAAATTGAAAATTATATAAGTCTTTCCTAGACTAAAATATATCTCCTTTCAAACTCCTTAGCCAATTGACTTTTCATACCTCAGTCTTTTCAGGTCATTAACCCATCTGTCTCCCATCCTTTTTTTGTAGTTGATTTCCTCTTCTTCTTCTACAATTTCACGAATCTTACGTTTTAAATATGGATCTTGCACTACCACAAAGGTCCAGGGCTCAGTGTGTGCTCCACTAGGTGAAGTACCTTCGTACAAAAACAGGGAAAGATGAAAACCCAGGAAGGAGGGTGGGCAGTGAGAGGTTTTAGCTATTCCTTGTGAGCTTTCAGGCTGACCAAGAGTGATGGGAAAGCAAGTGAATGAGACGGGAGGAAAAGGACTGAGGCAAGTTCTGGCAGACAATCCTATTCATTTCTTTCTTAAAGAATGAGAAGTGCCATTCAAGGACAGAGATTAGACCTTTCATACAGCAATCTTACAGGAAGGGTAAGTTAAGGATTTCTAAAAGTTCCTTTTGGTTCTCATGATGAAACGGTAACATGGTGCAACATATGCCCATAGTAATTATACGGAAAGCAATGCACTGTCTGAATATGCAGCCAACTCTGAGACCTGATTCTAGCTAAAGGACAAAACTAATGGCTTTCAGGGAAACAAGGCTAAGTGACCACCCGCGGGAACCTGTCACTGACTGACTAAAATAAGGAGCTGCACAACAAAGACATCTGCCATATAGCATACAGCTTTGAGTTTTTTGTCCCAAAGGCTGCTGGTGTATGTAGGTGTGCACATATAAAGTCTGCGCTTGCTCACCCACCACCACCATAGGAGAATATTTTAACTACCTAGAGGTTAAAAACCAGAAGCTGAAAGATATAGTTATCTGCACAGATTCACATATATATGGGTTAAAAAGACTGCTTAGATCTCTCTGATCCCTCACACACATTTAAAAATATTTGAAGATCTTAAACACATACAATAGTTGCTTTCCTAAGGACTGATTTTAGCTTGAGAAACACTGAATAAGCAGCTTGAACTACCTTTATATATTAAAATGTTTTTATATTGTGAACCTTGCCTCTCCTCAGGTTTGGGTAAAAACTGATGACATTTATGCTTCATTTTGTTTTCTTTTTCTCTACACAGCCCAAAGCTTTAAGGATTACTGAGTACTTCATCTGCACGCCAGGCTTGTTCGCTTTGCTGCTTTTGCCAAAACATGCTCAGTGTTTTAATGACTCCTAGTTAATTAGAGGGAGACAGAGACTCGTTACAGTGCAGTAACAAAGCTGCTTACAGTTTTTAAAGGGAAAACAATGCACCTCAAATGTTGAGAATCTTTATATTATTAATCCTGCTAAAGGCCACTGAGCTGTTTTCTAAGGCAGCCTGGAATATTTGCTACAGCAGGAGCAGCTGGCTCATAGAATAAGAGAAATAATGAGGGTCAAACCCACTTCTGGCTGAAGTCAATGTTACTAAAGCAGAGATGAGATTAGGCCAGGACATGACAGTAATTATTTGAAATGCATAAATTCTCAACAACAACAAAATAATCAATTTCTGACATTCCACCAAATAACCTTGATCAGGATCCTCATCATAACACTCCAGTCATATGCAACGAGGATCTGGACTGATGTCAGAAGAACTGGAAAAGGTTTTTTGTTCTAGACAGAAATTCTTTTTCTATAATAAACTCCAACCATTTATATCACCTGAAATATTTTGCTTGCCTAAGAAAATGTCATCACTATGTTTGTGGGGGGAACCCAAACATCACAACCCACACTGGATATTATAATGCATTGCATTTTAAAGCATGCGAAGTACACATGGTTTGACATTTTTAAGAGAAAACACTTAATAGTTCTATTTGAAAGATGTCTCACTAAACCATACACAAATTTTATTTTAAATAACATCTTTTAAAGGTTGAAAATTAAGTGTTTTGCTTCATGCTGTTGAAATGCTCTTCTTCCCTTATGGGTGAACTGCAAATATAAAGGAATTGGGAATGCTCCAAACAATTCCCCAACATATTGTCTGTTGTTCAAGCTGAGTAATTTCTGATCAATCAATGGGTGCTAATTCATTCTGGTTACAGATGAATCTGGTAAAACCATGAGCAAAATGCCAATTTTCTTGGCTTTTCCACACCACCTTTTCACAGTTATGCAGTTGAACAACAATGGTGATCCTTTTTTTGTTTTTTTCAGACCTTGAACCACTCAGTACCATACCTGCTGTTCTGATGACATTATCGATAACCTCCCTGGGGACCGGCTCATCACTAAGAAACCTGACAGATCGCCTCTTATTTAGAAGCTCATAAAATGTCTGTGACCTCTTAATCATTTCAGCCTCAGAGTAGCGCTCTGCAGTGAAGGGGACATGGGCAACATTTTCTTCAAGCCCTTGCCACTCTTCATCAACATCTGCAAGAAAACACAAGTGGTTAGGGTTTTTTTTGCTGGAGAATGCTGTTGATATCCTTGGCATTCACCACTGGAACGCACTTTGTCCTGCACTGGCGTACACTTTACTTCTACATCACTCCTAAGGCAAAGTCTGAGGTTCCAGTTGACACAACTCATTGATCCCTAGCTCCAGCTGCTGAATAAACATCTTGTTTAAATACCAAGAGACACAAGGGTCCTGGCTGGCTGTTGCAAGTGTGATGCACAAAGAAGTCATTGCCTTCTCTGCTTCAGCCTGCAAGCCTGCCTGCAAAAATGAGTTACAAGCTGAAACAGCAGTGAAAAACTGGCTAGGCCTTCAGCCCACTTTTCTCAGCAAGTAAATGTGAATATGTATGTTCCTTCTTGAGCAGTCTAATAAGAAAAAAAAAAAACCCAGTCAAATTACTGAAGTTAAGGAGAGAGCTTAACTACCATTATGTGAAAAATCTCCTCTGAAGAGCTGAATGTCAACTTCTTCAATATTCATGTTTCACAGCCAAAGCACTGCAAGTCTTAGCTCTGCAGAAATGTGACTTTGTGGTTAAGCTCTTTGGTTTCCCAACACTTCCAGCATAAGACAAAAAAAATGACAGGCATCTCTACTTAGGATAACAATATATCAAATGTAGGATATTGTGTTCTTATCTTTAAATTAAGAACTCTAAATGGTTCCCCATTTCACTGAAATCTGTCTCTCTGGGGTTTTTTATATCACAAAATGAATCTTCTGTTGTCTCTGAGGTCTCTTTCTCCCCTTTATTCCTAGAATCAGCAGAGATAGCATTTTTTGCAGCTATGATGTGGAAGTTAAAGCCATTTAAATGCTGCATTTTGACTAGTCGATAGTATTGAGCAATTTACAACAGAGAGCTGAGTCAGGAAAAATATTCTGGTTCTTTTTCAGTCACCATTAGGCTATTATTCCAGAATCCTAGCAATTTCCAGTGCAAATTCAAACAGCAATCATTTCTGTGTTTTAGTAGTATGAAGTTGCCTTAGAGACTAGGCTGATTTTTTGTTCGTTTTATAAACAGCAATGAAATATTCACAAGTGTATCTCAGCATGTGCAAGAGGGTGAAATAAATCCAGTTTCATATATTGAATCTAGACAGAATTATTCCGGTTCCCAAACAACACACATTTCATTTTGCATACCCAGAGAATTCTCTTTGCTTAGCATTTCATGCCTCTGTTGAGCACTCTTGGTCACAGTCTGCAAGGACCTGGCTCCAGGTTAATGCGAAGCAGTGACCTGCTGTAAAAATTATTTTTGTGACCATCTTGTACAATCAAACCAAAAAGTAAAAAGGTACCTCTTCCTAATGTTCCCTTTGTGGTTTACGTTTAGTAAACTAATGATGAATGTGTGCTTGTTTTGTGGTGCGGAGTTTTTTTTCCCATGAAAGAAGAAGAGAAGAAAAGAAGTGGAATTGCTATTTGGTCAAGATGTCTCAACTTAATAATAAGGTAAAAAAAGAAATGTACTTTCAAAGATTTTGAATATGGAAAAAAGGTGAGGCAACTAGTGAGAATGAAAAACCTGTATACCCTCCAACTGGGAATACTGGCAGAGGGAGAAGAAGAACCCAGAATTGAGGGAACTGACACACAAAATCAAAACTCTCCTGGCAATTTTTTTTTTTAATAAATTCATCTAGTATTTATTCTCCTCTACCATGTGTCTACCATTCATTCTTAGCAGTTAACATTATCCATATGCTAAGATAAAATCATTATCAGGACCATCTGTTTAGTGCATGCTCTCTATATCTTTAATTGCTATGTTTAGACATACTCCTGTTTGTATGGTCACATTATACAATACTACAAGTGTCTTGTTTACATCTCTGTGTATTCCATGACTTGATGGACAACAGACATGCTACTGGTAAGTCTGTTACCTTGTTACCCACATTCTCAAGATTGCCATCGATTCCATTGTACATTTACAGTAGTCTTCAGGCTTCCTGCCTTTTATGAAAATCTGAAATGGTTTTGGCTCAGGCATCCCATGAATCTCATTTTAATGAAATCTCATTTTAGAAGTACTATTTCTCTAACTCTATCAGAAATTTCTCTCAGGATACATTTTAGGATGATGACTGCGATCTTCCCAGCAGTTCATATGGGAGGTTATAATCAGCCTACAAATCGTATAATAAATTTTGCCTCATTTTGTAGCAAAAAATCTTACCATGAGTTCCTAGTAACATAAGCTCACACTGAAAACAACGACTTGTCATTTCACTTTTGTTGGCCACTTATTTTACCTACACTGACACTTCCCTGTATTGTTGGCTTCCACTTGTATATCATTAGGAATTTCATGTGTCCTCCTTGGTTTTATGCAAAGACCACTAGATAACATTAACAAATGGTCTTGAAACTGATCCTTGAGAAACTTCAGTCTAGAGGAATGCGTTTGCTTTCCAACCAAGCTCTTTCAGTTTCTTCTCTAAGGAATTGTTTCCTAAGCATAAAATTCCTTTGCAAATCTCTTTTCCAGTGTAAAGAAAACAATTAAATAAATGCAAAGAAAGCTTTCAGATCTTTGGACATAAAATTCTGGGTAACTGACCCTGTGGTTTTTTGCTTGATTAATGGCAGACTGCTACAAAATCTGCCACTACAGGAATCCCAGCAGTGAATCCAATCTTGAACTGAGTGTGTGGCTAAAAGAGAACTAAAAGAGATGAATTGCCTTACCAGTGGGTTATAAATAGTGCCTAGCAGGCTGATCCTGGAAACCCCAAGAGCTGGTTATAGATCTTAAGCAAAAGAAGTAGCAAGTGGAGAGGCAGACTCTGGAAGAAAGAAGCCAGAATCAAAATATTGTGAAAATTACCTCAAACTGGAATATAGTTACAGAAGGTTTTTAAGATCTTCAGAGAAGTGGAGTGGCTGTTTTATAAAGAGAAGACTTGCTGTTTTACCTAGTGAATGGAAAGCTAAGAGGTGATCTGATTGCTATCTATAAACTACAGGAGGATATATACCAGGGTTGGAATAGTATCCTTTAAAATATGAAGAGGAAGGAACAGGAAAAATGGGTATACAGTAGTATTAAATAAGTTTGGGCAGACAAGCAGGTAGAGAAGGATTTTTAACCTATACATGGAGTTCTGGACCAGCCTTCCAGCAAGGTTAAAGAAATAGGGTCATGAACGGCCAGTTTTCATGTTTATTCTGCTGATGACAAGGCTGGATTTGTCTGCAGCAGTAGGAAGAAAAACACAGTAATGAATCATGTACATCTGAGTCCTGTGTTCCTAAATGACACAAAACATGAACTGTTATTGAAATGGAAAATTAAATTGCTACTGCCTCATTCATGTCAGTAGTATTATTAAGATATGGGAAGTCTGAAATTGGGGAGAAGAGAAATGCTTTTAAGTGGAAGAGGTCTATTATGAAAAGTATGACAAGCAATGAACAGTGCATTTTCAGAAGAAATGGAATATTTGGAACTTCCTACATTGCTTTGTATTCTTTAAGTAGAGTGTATTGCCAATGTCTCCACAATTAAATATATAGTAATAAAATATCTTTGTTATTAATCTGTGCAACTGATCCCTGGAATAACAAGGAGACAAATATAATTCAACCACATCTTCCACACTGCTGTAAACTGGGTCTTTACTTTATCCATCAGTTGTACGGATCTGAATATATGATCAAGAAAGTGATTGATACACATGAAGACTGGACATGATTTTCAGTAGTCCAGATCTAATTGTGTAAATCTGAATCAGTGGGAGATGAGGTACCACCACTTTGGGACAAGATACCCACTTGTGACTCATCATTCAAGGCAAGGCTGAAGAAATATCTTTTTCATCTGTATGTAGTGCAATGGCCTAGTGCAAGACACAGTCAGACATATACATACACAGACCATTCTTGCCAATCCACAGCACAACAATCGCTTGTTCTGGATCTTATAAATGAAGGGGAAAGTTACAGGACAGATAGGCATGTAAACAAAGCTGCAGTGCTGCCAGTTAAAGCATTAAACAAATTGACTGAGTGCTTTGCACCTAGTGAAGGAACTGGGTTTTTATCTGCTCCAAGAAACACTCATCTCTTCAGCTACTGAAAGCAGAACACAAGCTCCAGAGCACTTCTACCCTTCATTACCAATAAGTGGCCCTACTGAGTCTGCCCAAGCAGTTCAGCTAATTACACTAAATGCTCTGCTACTCAAAGGTATGCCCCTCTCAGGTCAAACATCCCTGACGGTGCCACTTCAGTGAAGGTTCATGATATCTACAAATAAGGTCAGTGCTTTTCTTACAGAGTACTTCTCATGCTTGGCAAATAGACCTTGTTTTGGTAATGGATACAAATCAAACAACTTGGTCTTAAGCTATCCCTTCTTGTTCCGGAGTCTGTTGAAAATTCAGCTTGTTCACCTAGGGCAGCCCTAGATTCTAGCTTTAGACAAGGCCTTAGGAATGTTTCATCTCACCTAACTCCAATTCTCTTCAGAGGAACTTTATCTTTAAATACAAGTAATTTATGTCATTGAGACATTTAAATAGAAACGAGCTTGTTTCTGTAAGATACGTTAATAAAGTAGAATTTACACAGCATGTAAAATATTCTTTACTATTATAATATCTCTGTTTACGTCCATGTTTCCATTTCAGCATCTAGTACAGTCAGTGAAAATTTTAACACTGACAAATGTTAAATTTTAACAAGGGGAATACATTTTGATCTCTACTTAGCAAATTTCCTTACCAGCTCTTCTACTTCTCATTGCTACTCTTCTCACTTAAGCTGGACTTTTCCCTGCTAAAGAAAAGCTTCCCAGAGCATGATGAAATTATTTTAATTTTTCTAGAGATAAAAGACATGGTTTGAATCACATACCATTAAGGGAAAGATAATTATTTATTATTAAAAGCAAAATAGCAAGAAAACCAATTTTAACATTAGACAACATGGTAAATTGAGAAAGGTTTTATTTAAAAATAAATAAATCTTTTAGCAACAGCACCAATATGTCTACCTGTCAAATTTTTTGCAAGGAATTTGAAACTAATACAATTTTGAATTTAGCACCTGAATAAAATGGTAAGCAACTAGCACAGAAATTAATGACTTTATATATGCAGCTGTGGCAGTGAGGCTCCTTGTTAAGAACTAATAGGTTTGCTTATTTAGAGGATCTAAATTTTTAAACTGATAGAAACAAGCATAGTCCGAGATGATAATTCATAAATTATCATTTGAACTACCCTCAGGAATTTTAATTTGCAGCAATTTAACTGAACTAGCAAGCCATCAGTGACAAAGGAATTATGCAATAATTTTATGCAGAATCTATTTTGCATTGAAAAAAAGGAGGATACAACACATGAAGTAATTTTTAAAGAAATTTTATGTATTTGGGAATTAGTCAACATGGTTTAAAATGTTCCAGGTATCAACTGTTTCCGGAAACTGATACAAAACACTAACTCAAAGTACACTGAACACTGAGAAAAGAAGAGAAATAACGGATCTTAGGAATAAGTATATGTACAGAAGAACAATATGTTTCAAGATTTCTAGAAGTGGAGTCAGGGAATGTGTCATATGGGACCAAAAAAGAGAATCCCCACAGAAAGCCTTTGAAGCCAGCTTGAGGAAAAGGGAAAAAGAAAAAAGAGAGCTGTATTAACTACAACTTTAAAAGCTTCATAGGAATAGAACTCTGTAGATTTTTATTTCACAAGGAAATAAAGGCAGTTTATGGAGGATAGTCAGGAAGCAAGAAGAAGGAAGGGTACATATAGTGTTTAGACTTTTGTCCAAGCTGTGCATCAGAAACACCTACTGAAAATAAGAGTCATTCTGTACGGTTTCAAATAGGCAGTTGAGTGAACAGATTAGCAGCATCACCACATTCTGTTCTTGAATATTTGATCAACATAGCTTTCAAATGGTTCTAGTTTCAGCTAAAGCTCTCAGGGACATTCTCAGAAGCCACGAATGGAGGACTTAAAACCATTTCCAACTTTTTAGGGGTGTTGAGACCAAATATATAGCACTGGGTGGTAAAGTGGGATGAGATATCTACAAAATCAACTTGCAGATATAAACTGTCTGCTCAGGTCTTCCCTTTGCTTATAAGACCTGGGAAGAGGTTGGGGGGACTTTAGCAGGATCTCCTTTCTTTCCTTACATTGCCCATAAAGTCCCTCATAGGTTTGAGATCTGCTGTTCAGAGGAACAGACAGGGGTCTTTGAAAATGTGTTTTCTTTTTGCTCTCTGACCTGGATCTGGAGGAATTAGAGATTTACACCAACAGTGACATGACATGAGGACTGCCTCCTTCCTGGGAGCTGACAAGCTCAGGGCACAGCAGCAGAATAGCATTATACATTACTGTCACTGTGGAGAAGTTCAGAGGATTGCATCTCCTTTATTCATGTCAGCAGATAAAATTCAAACAATGCAGTGTTCAGATGGATAAGATTTTTCTTACCTTCTTCATCTAAGGTATGGTCAGTACCATCTTTTAAATCTCCATCCATCCTCTGGCGAGATGTAAGCTTGCTTTTAACGTCACGTTTTTCCTTCTCTCCATTAGTTTTCTTTATTATTACCCCAATCAAAAGACATATAATGGCTATAAAGACTGGGGTGAGGGAAGAAAAGAGTGCCATGACTATGGAAATATGGAGCCTTTATTCCAAGTTCAGTAGTTTCTCACGAAAAGGAAGGGCTGAAGAGGAAAGAGCAGAACGGCAGTAAGCAAAAAGGCGTGGACCCAAGGGTCAGTCCTCGATCATATCCTGCTTCTACTTTTCAGTCACCTCCCCCACAATCTTATCTGCAATGTGCTCCTGCTGTTAATAAACAGCTCATGCCATTAAACAAACTCCAGACACAGGCTTATATATTTTCTGGGGAGAAACAGTTTATAAAAAGCATGCAGAGGCACTGACCATATACAAACACATAAATGCTGTCCAGTGCAAAATAAATTTAAAAAGCCCAATACCTTTCAAAACTCCAGACTAAGGCAAAAGTATTTGTATTGCTATGGTCGTCCCAGTAATCTTTCTTGTAACAGTGATTCTGAGAAGAGCTAACTGGGAATATGACTTTAAAAACTGATGGCATCTCCTCAATTTTTAATTCATAAAATTAGTTGTATTACATGTGTCCTGGGAAATCAGAATATTACCAATTGAATACCAGCTTGCAGCACCACCTTTGGCTATGTAAACAGGTCAATAGAACAGTGGCAGCATTACCTCTGTGTAAAGTATGAATGAGATGATTCACAGAACTCTGTATTTGTGCTGGATATTCTGGGGGAACTAAAAAGAAGAATACAGGGAATCAAAGTAAAAAATATTTGAGGGCTGCAGTGAATTTTATCAAATTCTTATCAAAGATTAAAAATCAATATGATCCTGGTTTAATACAATAATGGTCAATGTCTAAATGCTTAACCATTTTTTACTTCAGCCAGCTGCTTGGGAATTGAATCAACACAGCAGCATGGAATTGATGTCTTTATCTGGGACTGTTGGGATATACTGGATAATGAAACGTCAGATGTCAGTAGGTGTTGAAGAGTGTTCTGGAGAGCAGGGTAAAGGGATACTGACTGCATGCAGTCACCAGTGCCCATCAGCCCTTTCTAGCATCAGCTAAGCACCAGCCCTACCAAGCCTTATCCCATGCTATAGGAGGTCAGTTCTGAAGTCCTAGCAAGTTAATCCCATGCCAATCCATGGCAAATTAATCTGCGTTTTGAACAAGCCTACCCGAGATAAGAGGGAGGAGTCTTGGCTGTAACCACTCCATGAGATGGTGAGTCCCAGGACCCTGGCACATCTCGCACTGCAACAGGCACCTGCAGGGGGCATTGCAGGTCAAGCCTAAAGCATTCCCGGTTTCCCCAATGTGAAAACCAGGACACACAGGGGAAAGAGAAGTTGGGATATGCACAGGTTTCATCCTGACAGGTTCTCAGTTCATACCCTACTACTCACATCTCTCAGTCTGCTGTTTTTGCAGCACTGGGCACACCCTTATTGGTCCCATTTGACATTGTCAGTCCAAAGGCTCCCTATCTTCCAATGCTTCAGCAGATACTGCAAGCTGCCTTGAAGACGGGTCTGTGTGTTGGGAAGCACAGATTAATGACCAAGTTGCTGCAAAGGAAGAGGAATGTGTGGCCATGCCAGTTGGCCACACACAATGATAGTCTGGCTAACAGTCCAGTCATGCTCCTTTTATTAAAAGGGCAAGGCCAAGAAAATTGCTCAGCTGTGCACATAGTGTGCAGACATACTTAGAGGCAAAATGAAACTACCGCACAACTTGTACCCAGGCTGGGCTTTCTCAGCTGCCCAGCTCAAAAACAGAATAAATGTGTTACTGCTGTTGTAGTGCAACCTACTCCAACACACAGGCTCCTGGTCCCTGTAGGTACTAGTCCTTCCAAGCAATGTATGGGATCTGTCTAGATCCCCAGGGATCAGGGGCAGCCCCAGGACCAGCCAAGTGTTCGCCCAAGTCCATCGGAGATGAAATAAAGAGGACATACAACAGTTGTGCTTAGGTTTCTAATCTAATCCAGTAAAGTTGGCAACAAACTGGCACCTACCTCTGGCTAAGAGGATGACTTGCTTGAAAACCGAAGCCATGAGTCTTGACTTTCCTGCTCTCCAGTCAATTTGTGACCTAGGACACATGCTTGAGTCATTGATACTGGGCTGCATGTATAAAAAGCCCCAAAACACATACACTGTACAGAGACAGAAAGGACAAAAATTATCATGTGGGGAAAAAAACAGATGGAAATTTATCCTCTCTATCTTTGATTTAGAGTAGTTATTTAAACTCATTTGTCCTGCCTTCTGGACATCCAGTCATGGGGAGAAGTACTTCACCTTATTCTAATTAGAAACAATGAATTCATTCATGCAACTAGAGAAGGAACCTGCAATTTCATAAGGCACATTTTCAACATCCCACTCTGTAGCAAGAAAGGGAAAGGGAATGCGGTCTGAATGGTGCTGACTATGTCTCCCACATGGAATATATTAACCTTAAATATTCACATACACATAAACTAGGATCTGGATGTTTTGCAGCTGAGATTCCATCCTGTGGAGAGAAAAGTCTGTGCTGAAAGAGAGAAAGCAATATAGATGGCTGATGTTATTTAGAATAACTACCTCTATTTGGAATGCTGGGAACTTTGTAATCGCTCCCTCCTCTGGAATACCTGTGACTTCCTTAAAGGTGATATTAATTTTTCTCTTGTAGAACAGGGAAAGAAAGAAAGCTAAATGTAAGTCCCTTTGGTATTAACTTAAACAAAATCTACAATGGTGATCTCCTTTTATCATCAGGTGACCCACCTGGTGGATGAGGGGAAGGCTGTGGATGTGGTCTACCTGGACTTCAGCAAAGCCTTTGACACCATATCCCATGGCATACTCCTGAAAAAGCTGGTAGCCCACGGCTTGGACAAGGGCACTCTGTGCTGGGTTAGGAACTGGCTGGAGGGCTGGGCCCAGAGAGTGGTCGTGAACGGTGCTGCATCCAGTTAGTGGCCGGTCACTAGTGGTGTCCCCCAGGGATCAGTGTTGGGCCCAGTCCTGTTTAATATATTTATTGATGATTTAGATGAGGGGATTGAGTCCACCATTAGCAAATTTGCAGATGACACCAAGTTGGGGGGGAGTGTTGATCTGCTGGAAGGCAGGAGGGCTCTGCAGAGGGACCTGGACAGGCTGGAGAGTTGGGCTGATTCCAGCGGGATGAGGTTCAAAAAGGCCAAGTGCCGGGTCCCGCACTTTGGCCACAACAACCCCCTGCAGTGCTACAGGCTGGGCACAGAGTGGCTGGAGAGCAGCCAGGCAGAAAGGGAGCTGGGAGTTTGTACTGACAGGAAGCTGAACACGAGCCAGCAGTGTGCCCAGGTGGCCAAGAAGGCCAACGGCATCCTGGCCTGGATCAGGAACAGTATGGCCAACAGGTCCAGGGAAGTGATTCTTCCCCTGTACTCAGAGCTGGTGAGGTCACACCTGGAGTACTGTGTCCAGTTCTGGGCCCCTCAGTTCAGGAAGGATATTGAGGTGCTGGAGCAGGTCCAGAGAAGAGCAATGAGGCTGGTGAAGGGACTCGAGCACCAGTCCTGTGAGGAGAGGCTGAGGGAGCTGGGGTTGTTTAGCCTGGAGAAGAGGAGGCTCAGGGGAGATCTCATCACTCTCTACAACTACCTGAAAGGAGGCTGTAGCCAGGTGGGGGTTGGTCTCTTCTCCCAGGTAACCAGCAATAAGACAAGAGGGCATGGTCCTAAGCTCTGCCAGGGGAGGTTTAGGTTGGATACTAAGAAGAAATTCTTTACAGAGAGGGTAATCAGGCACTGGAATGGGCTGCCCAGGGAAGTGGTGGATTCTCCGTCCATGGAGGTTTTTAAGATAAGACTGAATGTGGCACTTAGTGCCATGGTCTAGTAACCACGGCAGTAGTGGATTAAGGGTTGGACTTGGTAATCTCAGAGGTCCTTTCCAACCTGGCTAATTCTATGATTCTATGACATTTGTAGCCTATAAATGGCATTTGCTCATCGCACATTTTTACTTTTGATACTGAGTACATTTTTTTCTTTCAGAACAACAACAACAACCATGCACAGAATTTCATGGGAAATATTAAAAAGAGAAGTTTTGATCCAAAAGCTTTTAATATTATGGTCTGTGTCCTTTGAGAGTGTTTAAAACATGCCTACCTAAGTTGGTACCATGTTAGCTCTGCACTAAGCTCATGCAACTCTGGTGCTGAGGTTGTGGACTTACTACTTCTCCTATTTTACCATCCTACTGTAGATGCACCGTATGATTCCAAACCACCTTTCAGCACTCAGATGTGAGCTCTAAATTATGCAGCTCCACCTGTGCTTTGGGTGCTTCCCACTGGTTCTTCCCATCATTCTCCGTGACCTCAGCATACCTCTTTCATCCTTTTTGGAGCAGTCTTATGGCATTACTGTGAGATTGTCTCGTGGCTAGGCAGGAGCAAGTCTCTTGGTGAGTTCTTACATGCATATGAGGTCTAACAGAAGAGCTACACAAAAGACATAAGTGGTAGGAGATCCTCCAAATGCACAAATTATCAAAGAATTATCAGTGGGTGAATGTGAGCTACATAAATGTGCAGAGGTAGCAGGTAAAGAAACTGTAAATGGTTGGGCTGAACCAAAACCAGCAGCCCCCACAGTCTTTCCAACTGTCTTTTTCTATTGGTACTTTATTGGAGAACTCTTAAGACTTCTTATTGGATGCTGGAGAAAAATAATAATACCTAGACATTCAAAAAGGTATTCAATACATCTATTCAGATTGGATTAACTGTCAAATGCAAAGTATGGTAGTTAAAACACGTAACATAGGAAGCATCTGAGATTGAGGAAGACATATGGATGGAGAGACCTTTTTGTGCAGTCCTTAGCCTTCTTTTTTTCCTAATCACCTATCCTTGGCCATGTACACACACATCAAGGGTTATAGCACTTAATGTCCTCAGATGGCTAGGACTCGGTATGAGGAGTATTACTGTAGTCAAAAGCAGATCTGTATAAAAGAAAGCAGTAGTAGAAACAAAGAATGTTAACAGGAAATGTACAAGAGTGCAGAGTAGGGTGAAGGAGGCACTTGCAATAAATATAGCACAAGTCTGTGAGAGAAAACAAGTTTTTGAGTGTTGGCTGCAATTCCCATTGCAATTGGGGCTTGCTGAACATTATCAGTTACAT